GCTTATAACATAACACAGAAATCTAATTTCGCTTGTTAGAAGTGTTTGTTAGAAAGCATAAGCTAGGTATAATAAGCTATAGATTTCCAACACGGTATTGATTACACAGCAGCAGAAAGACGAAAACTGCATAGGTGGTTTATATTTTAAGTGGATTTTGCTTACAACATGATAGATACTGTAGTGAGAGGATAACAATGTTTACTGGTAAATACTTGTTCTGAGGTGGTGGCACCATAGGTGGGAAGCAAATCAAATAGCCAGAATTTCAAGAGAAAACCCTATACCACTCACATTATGAAGTCGAGGTTAAGCGTTCATGCATACAAGAGTATTTCCCCCAGTTTCATTCCAGAGGCCACAAATTAACACTGTTGTGCCCATCAAACTCTCTACCTCATCTTAAAAAAAATCCCTTTAAAGAGAAAAGGAAATTGAAAAATCCTCTTTGAGGTACCTGCCTTGCATTATCTTTGTGAGAATGTCTTCAGGCCATATAATTCCTATATCCATTCTTAAAAAATAAAAATGGTTAGTGGCTGCAGCCCAATGCTTTGGATTGGATATGTGTTGACTTGCCCAGAAAAATGAGACCTGGGTTGGTAGAAATCCTCCTAGGACCTAGAGACTAAAAGCAACAATCTCAACTGTTGGTTTTCCATGTACACCTATGTGTACATGTGTGTGGATTATTTGACTTATCTATGGCAGTCATTTTGTGAGGACAATTGGATTCACTCAAAATTCCAAACGTGGAACAACCCAAAAAGTTTTTCTGACCCTAGAAAAAACAACATCTCAGAATTGAAGTATATTGGTTGGGGGGGGGGGGAAAAAGGACATTTATGTCCTGTAAATACAAATGTGCGCACATGAACAAACAAATGAGGAAGAGAGAACTTTGATCATACTGGGAGAAATGTAATCAAAGTATGCCAAGACAATTTTACCAAAAAAATGTTTGCTACCTTTTCCAGAATAAAAAAGCTTGTACTGTTTGTATAATACCACTCTTACGTAAATCCTCCAAGGCAGGAATGGCTTTATTAAATTGCAAAACATTACTTGATCAACTGATCTACTAAAACTCAAGATGACTGTTGTGCTCATATTTGTTAAAATACTTGATAACTGATAACTGATTCTGCCCTGGCTTCTTCAAGGGAGGCTTTTGCATTACAAGATGTGTTGAGCTAAGTTCATTAACATGCAAGTACCACCATTTTACTCGCACCACCCACCCCAATTCCACACTGCATTTTAATCAAGCTTTGTGGTTCATTGTGTTGTCTGAACCTGAAGCAGCTGCAGTTGAATTTTCCAGAAACTGGGAATGCATCCAAGATTTCTTTGAATGTGAAGGAACAGTTTTTAGAAACAGAGTATGCCTTCCATTTCACGCCAGGAACCTTAAAGTTTACTTAACGAGCTGTATGCAGTAGGATGGGGTCCAGAAATGGATGTTCTCTGGTTGCTGGAAGTGATTCTATGACTGTTGAAATGTTGTGGCCAAATATGTTCTCTGCTGCTTCCTCGGTCAGAATACTGGAGAAAAAGAAAGCCTGTTTGAACAGAAGTTTGATTTATTGGATGTTATGGAGGAGCAAAAGAAGTAAGTAATTGCCTTGATTTTATGCTTTGGCCGTGAGCATATTTGCTTAGGAAAAATATATCCTGCTTTTCTAGTAAAATCCAGTTACCATAGTCAAAACATTAAAACAATAGGAACTACAGTAACATAAAGCATCAGCAGCAGTCAAGGGGAAAAAATAAACAGAGAAGCCACATTAAAGCAGTACAGGATCTAGGCTATTCTTTCACCTGGTCCATCCAACCAGAATAGCAGCCCTTACAGTCTTCAGCATTGGGGTTTTCTGCCCTGCTTTCGTTTCCTCCCCTCAACTAGGTTATAACCACAGGGTCAAAGGGGAAATAAAATACCCTTCCTGTTTCTGTTACTCAAGAACTCTCCAGGTACCTTAAATATCTAGTAGCCAATCTGAAGTCCCCTGAGCCTTCCGAGGCATGTCACCAGATTGCCACCTCTCCCAAGACAAAAACCTGCATCCAGAATGTCTATTTAAAATGATAGGTAGCAATACAGAGCAGCAAAGAAAATGTAGCTGATATTAGCCATGGAGGAAAAGTATGAGAATTCAAGAGCAAGTATAAACACATGAATAATGTGTCGGCCCGTTCTTGATGAAGATTCAGCTTCACATTAAAGCAGCTTTGAAAAATATCAGACAAGGCTTGAGTGCATCGGGAATGACATCAAAAGCTTAATGCAGCTAGAGGTCTGGATGCACTAGATTCCCAACTTAGAATATTTCGCTCCATAATTGGAATTAAATTCTTTTCTTCCCCTTAGCTGTTTCCAGGGAAACTTGAAGAACAAAACTGTATGATGAATTCTTCCTTTGCTGCTAACTTCAAGAAGATATATTTTCTTACGAGAAGAAGAAAGTACCAATCCACATGCCAACCATGGTATGCAGCTGATCAAAAGGGGATTTCTAAAGTTTGCACTGCTAGGGATACCTGTTGTAGTTCAAAGGCACACACACACACACTGTACCCATTCATCCTTGTTCCCTTCACCCAGTGCTGAAAAGTCATCAGGCTTGGCAGGCAGCAAGCTTTCTTAAAAGTGATCTATCAAAGGTTGGGTGCCGCATCGAGAATTCATTAGAAGAGATCACTATGTGCCTGACTGCTTATGATGGAGGAAGGTGGAGGATTCAAAGAAATTCAACTGAGGAAGACATTATTGGATGGGTGGTGGATCTATGTACGAAGGTGCTAGCTACAAAGGGTTTTAAGCTTTAAGTGTTTCCCATTGAAACCATGTAAAGAAAGCTCGCTTATTTTTGTGACTTCTCAGCTGGCCCCATAAAGATTAGGATGTTGGACCAGGAGCAGGGAGACCCAGGTTCAAGGCCACCCATAGCCAGGTATCCACTCAGCTCAACCTGCCTCCTTATTGTTGCACTCACAAGGATGTAAGGGGAGATCCCCTTGTAAGAGACCTGGACCAAAATAGTTGATCGGTCCTCTAGAAGCCAGGCAGTTTTGCTCCTGATTTTCTCAGGTGTGCCTGAATGCAGGGACTCTTATCAATTTATTGGGTGTGATTTTCTAATTTTAATCTGGCATTGGAGGATCCGATCCCTTCAGGAGGAAAAAAAACATAAAACTCAAGCTATTCCACCTGAACAGGGGATGTCCTGTAGCACCTGCAAGTGATGGGTCTCCTGAGAAAAATGGTCAAAATACTCGTAACATGTCTAATTGTTGTCTGTTGCCTTGGTTGTGACACTACTCAGGAAATGCTTGGCATAATTCCATGGTGGTGGTGATTTTCTATACTATGACTAGGCATGTTTCTCCCTTCCTCCTGTTTTCTGCTTTCAAGCTCCATATCTATATCATTAACATATGGAGACACATAACAGTGGTGGTTGGTTCTTGTGGTGTGCCCTAACCACTTCCTGTAACTAGTGGTTGAAAAGATCATGTCCTGATTTTTGAAGTCTTGATCCCCAGACAGCTTTGTGTGGTCTGTGCAGGATTGCTGCCCGAGCAACAATGTGGATATAGAATGGAATGTGCTTTAATCCCTTCTTTCTGTGTATTATGCTACAAAATAATAGTTAAGAAGAAATATGAGAGGGACTGAACCCTTACGTGGAGCCATGACTAGGACCTGCCAGTTTCAGAGCCAATACTGGCTACGTGCCACTGGAAGAAGATGGATGTTGCCTACTGTTTACTAAGGGTTTCTGCTAGGAACATGTGGCCATTGCAATCAGTGGTGCTGCCAGCACAGCCATTGATGGGTTGCCACTGGAAAGGGTTCCTGGAAAACAGAGTGCTTGTCTGATGTTTTCACATTTCTAATTGTGTGGGGGCTTTTCTTCTCTCTTAAACGTGTCACAATCACCGTTTCACAGAGTGGAAACATATGAACCTTCAGCTGAGAAAAAAGGACTGCTCTGCCCATGAACGTGTGTGTGTGTGTGTGTGTGTGTGTGTGTGTGTGTGTGTGTATGCCCATATATGTGTCTATATAAAATGTGTATATGTATCTGATGACAGATATCCAAACACAGAAATGAGGCTAACACCATGTTACTAAATTGTTTACCATCTGCAAGTAAGAGATTTGTTATAACGCCAGGGTGGATTAAGAGAAGCAAAAGCTTAATACTGTAGTAGTCATCTGTGAGAACATCCCTATTCCATGATTCTACAAATCCCTGGCAATCTTTTTACTGTATTTATATAAAAGGAATCCAGAAAACAAATTGGTACATCCCAAATATAAAACAGCTTATTTAATAAACTCGTTTCTGTATTTTAGAAAAAAGTCTGAATTTTTCTCAGCTATATGCGGGCTTTTCTTTTACTCTCCGGTTTGAAGAAGAAGAAAGCATAGCTCAAAGTAAAGAATAACTATATTCAAATAGTTTAGGAAGAACTAACTGACATAAAAATAAACAACATACTTAGCATACTGACTTTTTCAAGTACTCCTTAAAAAGAACATTGTTATTCTCTTTCTTTTTCTGCACTTGACTGTCTTTTTTCTTCTTTCTTTTCTTATCTTTATTCTAAATATTAGTTCGTTATCTTTCTTTTTAAAATATCTATCATGTCTGTCTGTCTGTCTGTCTGTCTGTCTGTCTGTCGTATCTATCTATCTATCTATCTATCTATCTATCTATCTATCTATCTATCTATCTATCTATCTATCTAATCTTACCAAAACCTAAAAATATTTAAAACTATTTTAATTCTTCCTAAACCATAAAGAATTGTTGAATGTAAATTATAGACAATAGGTAAGCTGCAATCCAACTGGCCTGATAATACACTTCGCTTCACTTACAGTAATCCTCCCTGAACTCAGTGAGACTTACATCTGAGTAAACACGTCTAGGATCTCACTTCAAATTTTAGGATTAGCATCTTACTGTCAATGCGGATTGTAAAACAAAGGGAAATTAATTTAATTTGTCTTCTGGTTTAGATTGCCTGACCCAATTTGCTCCTTTCACATTTAATTTGTCCAAGCACCAGTTGCAAAGCTCTCTAACCAAGCAGTACTGTTCTGTGCTTTGGCTAGAACAGCACTGCTCCTCATACAGTTCTCTCTGACAAAGTTAGCAAGTGATTGTCTAAGCACAATTTAATTACCTTCCCTGAGAACTGTATTATCCAAGTGCCTTAGTAAAATTAGCAGTCAGTTTCTTAGAAAAGATCAAATAAATGAAGACTTTGTTTAAATTTAGTACCCTGCTTTCAAAATAACCTGAAATTACCAAACCATTTTATTGAAAAATATTTACATTACTATAGCAGTATGCAGTGATTTCTAGCCCAAGTAAGGGAGCCAGTGTGGTGTAGAACTGTGGTGAAGGTGCTGGCCTAGAAACCCGGAGACTCGGAGTTCTAGTCCTGCCTGAGGCATGAAAGCCGGCTGGGTGACTTTGGGCTAGTCCCTTTCTCTCAGCCCAGCCCACCTCACAGGGTTGCTGCTGTGGGGAAAATAGGGGGAGGAAGGAGTATTTGGTACGTTCCCTGCCGATAGATAGATAGACGATAGAAAATGGCAGGATAATAATATATTGTTGCATCATTCTCACTGGATCAAAAAGCAGTGGGTACAAATAGCATGAACATATAATTCCTCTATATTTTTCAAAGAATGTCCTTTTTTAGCCTACAGTGGTCTGCAGGTATGCATCAAGAGACAAATTAAAGCTTGTAATCCTATTAACATCTTAATAGTTTAAGCCATAATTTTTTTATTATGACACAGCTGCACCATAAACATAAAACATAAAACCACCCAGAGTCACCCCACAGTGAGATGGGTGGTGACAAATTTGAAATATAAATAAATAAATAAATAAAAATAAATACATACAAGGTTTGCAGAGATTGCACTGACGTTCCATCAAAATGTACTTAAATCATAAAGAGAAAGAATTTCGTAATTGCTGCGTTCATGCAACACACTTAACTTGGTTACCAAATTAAGTTGTTTTCTAGGTTCATACAATACCATAAAATAACCAAATAATATACCAGGCTCAAGTAATACAGTAAACCATGATGGTGATGATGGTGGTGATGATGATATTTCTAATTTTGTCTGTAAGAGCCAGTTTGGTGTAACAGTTAAGGCACCAGGCTAGAAACTGGGAGACTGGAGTTCTAGTCCCACCTGAGGCATGAAGCCAGCTGGGTGACCTTGGGCCAGGCCCTCTCTCAGCCCTGGGAAGAAGCAGGCAAGGGCAAACCACTTCTGAAAACCTGGCCAAGAGAACTGCAGGGACTAGTCCAGGCAGTCGCCAGGAATCAAGACTGACTAATTATTATTAATATTATATCCCTGGGCATCAGCGGCCTATCGTACTGGAAATCTTTACAAGCTTCCAGAAGGCCATGCGAGCAGGAGTTGTTGCCTTGATGTTCTGCTTCCCATTTGGTACAGGAAATCATTAACACAATGGGATGGACACAAACTTAACAGAACAAAAGCTGGTTCATATTT